CTGCCCAATAAATAAGTGGGCTAAAGACTTAAAGAGAAACTTCTCTGAAGAGGAAAGAAGGATGGCCAATAGACATATAAAGAAATGCTCAACCTCTCTAGCCATAAAAGAAATGCAAATCAAAACAACATTGAGATACAACCTCCCCCCAGTTAGAATGGCTATAATCAAGAACTCTAATAACAATAGATGCTGGAGGGAAGGGGATGTGACAGAAGGGAACCTTACTGCATTGTTGGTGGGAGTGTAAACTTGTTCAACCACTTTAACCAGTACTTTTTGATGGCTGAGAATCAAGGGTGAAAGGAAGACAAGTTTGTGTATTCACATAGATTTCCCTTTTTGTCTGGCAGAGATATAGTTAACCACAGTGAAGTAAGCAGATCTGCTGAGTGCAAAACTTACTTTCCCAGGAACTCTTCAGGTCAGAAACAAAAATACCCATACATAATTCATAGGTAATAGAAGATATTTTACATTTGAGCTACACTCTAATGTGTTCACAGCTTAAATTATGTTTTTTGAAAATGCCCTTGAATTGTTTTTTTTGTAAGTATTTTATTAGATTCGTTCACCTTCTGATTGAGAGCTTTCAAGAATACCAAGCACTTCTCAAATGATGTAGTCTAAAATTAGGCTTTTAACTCACTATCAAATAGCCTTCCGGTGAATCTGAATCTTTGTGATATGTTTTTCTCGCCTAGAGAAATTTACAATAGAAACAAAGAGAGAGAAAAAAAGATAAGAAAAATACTTAAGTGTCTTAAAAATATTAAAATGTCTTCTACTTATTGTTTCCAACACCGGAAAAAAGATGACCCATCCTTAGCTAAAAAAAAAAAAAAAAAAAATCTTAGAATTTTTCAGTGTGTGTCTGTATTTAATCCTGAATCCAATCAATATGCTACGCAATATAATACGATTACAGAGACTGTGTGGTAATTTAAACTTTTGCTATTGCTTTTTAAAAATCCAGCACATTTTGAAAATAAAATTCCAATTAAATATATTTTCTTCCCTCATTAAGCACTTTCTTCACCAAACTAGTGGCTTGCACATGTCTATTTTAAGTAGTTTGTGGGAGGAGCTTTTGTACAACCGTTTGTTTCCCTTTCGTGAGAAGGCTGGAAGATTAAACTGAATAATATAAAGGCTTCTAACTCACTTCTCCCCTACCCTACACTTTTAAAATTCCATAGTTTGTGGTCTCCTAGCAGATAATTTAGAACTCAGGGTTTCTCTGATTCACTGAAGAGGTTAGAATTGTTGAACTAATAGTGTTGAAACTATGCCAGTGGCTCATACTTAGCTACTCCGGAGGCTGAGATCTAAGGATTATAGTTCAAAGTCAGCCCAGGCAGGAAAATTCTGGAGATTCACAGAAGTAGAGCTGTGGCTCAATTAGTAGAACATTATCTTTGAGCATAAAAGCTCAGGGATAGCGGATAGCAGCTAGGCACTGGGTTCAAGCTCTAGGACTACCCTCCTCCCCCCCCCACCACCACCAAAAAAAAATTCTTAAAACTAGGTTTAAAATTATCCTTAAAACTAGGTTTTCTTATTATTACATTTTTGGTGAGGCATAATTTCCATACAATAAAATTACAAACATCTTAACAGTATACTGAGTTTTGACCCTTTTGGATATAATATACATCAGGATCAATGATGACTTTCTCAAATGTGCTAGGAGGTTAAAACAGCTTTCTAGCCAGTTCTGAGCTAAAGTGGTTAAGATCTATTGTCTTTGTAAAGAACCAAATTGGATAATATTCATAAAATATATAATGTCTCATAAAACCTTATTCAGATTAAAGCCAGGGTTTTTGTTTGTTTGTTTGCTTAAATCTTAAAATTATCATATACCTTGGTATAAGGTCTGCTCTTCTGGCTCCTGGGTTCAATTCTCAATTTGATGTTGTATTTGTTTTAGAAAATTAACGCAAAACTTCATGACGGAGTGTGTCAGCACTGTAAAGAAGTTCTTGAATGGCGTGTAAAGTACAGCAAATACAAACCATTATCAAAGCCTAAAAAATGGTGAGTTCATTTCTTAGTTACTTTACCAGTGGCATAGATAGCATATTGTGTTGTTCCACAGGGGCTTGTGTATCATGCGGTATTGTTTCAATGGAATTTCATTGCATGCTGTTTCAGGACAGAGGGTTTTTTTGTCTTGATTGTGAGCAGTGTTGACTTTCTTTCAACAACTGGATAGATTTCTTATGTCCATCTTACAGTGTTCTCTTTTGTGCTTTGCCATGTATTCCCTCAAAAAAACCCTTTTGGTGACTAGAGGCATAGCTTATGTGGTAGAGTGTGTGCCTACCTGGGCCCAGAGTCAGTCCCTAGGACTGTACCAAAGAAGCAAAGACTTGCAAACAGTGCTATGCTCAGTAGCCCAAATTAGGAATTGGAAATGTAGCAATAGAGGAAGTGTTTGCCTTGTCCAATTTTAGATTTTCATGAATGAATTAACTGGGTCCTCTAGATAGTAGTTAAATGCCGATTGTGCAATAAATCGTGTACTTTTAGTTAATAGGCCTAATCCAATGTTTTCAGCTTCCTGAATGTCTTCAACAATGTTTTCTTTATCCAAAGATATTTTTAAGGCTCATTACCAATTCTTCATTTTGTCTTGGGAATATTGAATTTTTTCTTAAAAATTTCAAAGTATAGCTAATATACATTTATATAGCTATATCTTTTTTTTCTTTTTTTTTTTCTTTTTGTTGGTTGTGGGGCTTGAACTCTGGGCCTGGGCGCTGTCCCTCAGCTCTTCAGCTCAAGGCTAGTGCTCTATCACTTGAGCCACAGTACCGTTTTTGGCTTTTTTGTTTATGTGGTGCTGAGGAATCGAACCCAGGGCCTCCTATATGCAAGGCAAGCACTCTACTACTAAGCCACCTTCCCAGCCCAGCTATATCATTTTAACAGAAATGAAATGAAATCACTTGAAAACATTCTTGTCTCATCTGTTATTTGTATGCTAATTTCTTTTCTTAGTGCTGTATTCTATATACTCATCTTCATTGTGAAAGTAGGTGAAAGATCTTACCAATTAAAAATTTGACAGATGTTAAGTTTTGCGGTAGATTTTCTGGACTCATTTAGACAGCTCTTAGATTTTCCTTCTTTTGTGTTAGCTATAATGTTTATTTCTCAATTTTTAAAACTTTTCATGCTGGTTCTGGGGCTTGAACTCATCACCTGGGCACTATCTCTGGAATTCTGTGTTCAAGGCTACCATTTGAGCCACAGTGTGACTTTCAGCTCTTTGATTGTTAATTGGAGATAAGAGTCTTACAGGCTTTCCTTCCTGCCCAATCCTCAGATCTCAGAGAGAATGACTTAGAGCAGAGACACACATAAAATAGAGGCAGAAATGCCAACCTTTCCCCTGCTTTGAGTTTGTTTGTAGGCCCAGCAAAAGCAACCTTCAAGCATCTCTTCCCGTACCAGTTTGTGGCAGTAAGCTATCTAGGTTGGCCTCTTTAGCTGTGCTTGTTTAGTTTTACCATTTCTTATAATAGGCTGAGTCTCTGAAGGTTAATCAGTGATGAGAGAGTTATGTCACTGCATTCCAGGAGTATTAAAATGTCCTGCAGTAGAGTTTTAGTCATAGGTAGCTCTTTATGTCACATTGTATTGTATGGGTGACTTAAAAGTTCCGGCTCTGTTCTGGACCTCTGCTCCTCATGGGTTTTGTTTTGTTTTTTTGGTCGGTCATGGGAGCGGAACTCTGGGCCTGGGTGCTGTCCCTCAGCTCTTCAGCTCAGGGCTAGTGCTCTACCACTTGAGCCACAGCTTATGTGGTACTGAGGAATCGAACCCAGGGCCTCATGCAAGCACTCAACCACTGAGCCACCCTTTTAGCCCCTGCTCCTCATGTTTTTTAAAAGGTAAAAGCAGAGCTGGACGCTGCTGGCTCACACTGTAATCCTAGCTATTCTGGTGGCTGAGATCTGAGGATCACATTTCAAAGCCAGCTGGGCAGGAAAATCTGTAGACGCTTATCTCCAATTAATCACCCACAAAAGCTGGTAGTAGAGCTATAGCTCAAGTAACAGAGTTCTAGCCTTCAGCGCAAAAATCTCATAGGCAGTTGGCAGTTCAAACCTCAGGACCAGCACACAAAAATAATAATATTAATAAAGTTAAATGGAGTTTTGATTACTTTGATCCATCAGTCACAGTACATAGAGACTACCTTTTTTTTTTTTTTTTTTTTTACATTGGTGCAGCAACCTTTGATTTAAAATTCCCTAGCCTAAACAGTTTCCATTCTATTTCTAAACTGTTCTTGGTCAGAGGTGAATAACTTGTACTCCTTTTTAAAGCAAATATTCTAGGAATTGATCAAAGTACATTTTATACATACATGAAAATGTCCTGAAATCTATTCTTTTGGACAATTAGGGTACATTAATAAAAAATAAAAGAAGGAAAATAATTAGTCTAATCCAACCTACTACTACAATAACAGGGAGGTAGTATTTCTACTCACTTTCACATACTCATTCTAAAGATACAAAGAAACTACTTATACTCCTGGGTATTTGGAATGGAGGATATTGTTTCCTTAAAAAGCATTTTATATGAGTAGCATGTGATGTAATCTTACAGTGTGGTTTTGGAAGCTTCCTGTTTTGAGCATAGATTTACTTAGAGCCATTGCAGGAAATGTGACTGATGCTTTATCCGTGTTGAGTTTCTATGATTTGTACATCAAGAGGGTGGAGCACAAGTCACTGTTTACCAAAACAACTAGTCATGGTACACACGAGACTGCCATACGTGGAGATTAATTATGCTAAAGGTTAAGGTGCTATAACCAGGAAAGAAAGCAGTTTCAGGGAGAATGTAGTACTAACCCGTTTTATATCAGTCCCAGTGGGAAATTCTTAAAGAGAATACTGGGGAAAGTTTACCTCCTCTACATAAATCTTCCAATATGCTCAATTATATAGTAAATTATGTTACTAATACAGGTGTCATCAAAAAGTCTTCGGACTTTTTGTTTTTGAACTGTTGAGTTTGTAGAGATGACGAGTATAATATAATTCAGACCATTGTCATTCATCACCCTGTCTGTCCTTGTGCATGGATCTCAGTGCTCTGAGTGACCTTCATAAACATTTCAACTCAAATACTGTACAACAGAGACATACCACACCCAGGGTAGAATCCTGGTTTCCAGTTTCCCAGACATTTACTGTTCCTTCCCCATTATGTTGTTTCAAAAAATACTGCTATCCAGGGGCTAACCTTCATCCAGTAAAAACTTAATGTCCCCCATTTTCATCTTTAAGTATACAGTAAACATTTATTAGCTTCATTCAATTGTTCTTTCCTTTTGTTTTGCATTGTAAAAACAATCCAGCACTATCTTAAAGATATGTATTGTCTCCTCCGTCAATAAGCACGGCTTGTGTTTTTAGCTAACTGCAAGGCCAAGATTCTTTGAACCACTGTTTCTGAAAACTGTATTCCATAGAGCAATGAAAAGAAGTTCAGACTATTACTTAACAGCTCTGATGATTTCATAGCACAATGTACAGGACATAGAGCAATTTTAAAGGAAGATTGAGAAACATTTATATTTAAGTGAATTTGATATTATTTCTTAATTATGTAAACTTTATAAGAAAAAGTGCTAAGAGCTATTTAAGATATATAAATGTCTTAAAGCTATTTTAAAATACTTTATAAGCTTTAGTACAACTTGAAATGTGTATTCATTGGATTTAATGATAACCACTGTTCTCATACTTAAGATCAAGATTCTTTGGGATGATGAATATTGTGCTGAGTTAAAAAATATATACCAACCTTTTATTGATTTCAAACCTCTGAAAGCCTGAATTAATTGAGTTTTTTTTAAAGGCACACTCAGCAAGATCCCACTTTCATAATAGAGAGAGTGGAAGTTTGTAAATATCTAAAAATTATACATATTTTCACAAACATGTCACCCTTATAAAAGGAAAAAAAATCATTTTCAAGGCATGTATATCTTCGTTGTACTGTCAGATAGGTCTTTTTATTCAGAGCTACTACCTTAGGGAAATCTGGTTTTCATAAGTAATTTAAATTTGAAAGTGCATAATTGCTCTTACCAGTAGAATTCATTCTGTTCTGAGAGTTTGTCCTTTTCGTGTCAGCCAGGCATGGGAACACAGAAAATTTCCTCTAAAGTAGTAAGACAGTATTATTTTGATATAGGTCGAGAATTTGCAAAAGGTTATGATCATAGAATTTTCTTGTAGAGTTTAATATATTCTTGGGCTACATTCCTAAGGTTTTGGTTATGTAACTAATCCATACTGCCCAGGGATCTGATTTCAACTGGCTATACAGATGTTTGAGTCTTGAGAAATGTACTACCTTTTGACTCTAGACAACAAAACAAAGTATCCATTTTAAACTTAACTATATATGTAAATTTTAACAGTAACAGTTCTGCCCAAACTTGCAATTTAAATATTTAAAGATTTGTTTACTCCAATGATCCCAAGCATGAGAGCCTCAAAATATGAGATTATATTCTAATTTCCTTGAGTTCTCAGATGAACCTAATTTTTAAGCTTTTGGAAATTAAAGACAAAAAATGTCAAAATTATCTAATCATTTGATTGGAACTTTACTATATGTGTATTCTTTTTTTTGGGGGGGTCTGGTCGTGGGGCCCGATCTCTGGGCCTGGGCGCTGTCCCTCAGCTATTCAGCTCAAGGCTAGCACTTTACCACTTGAGCCACAGCGCCACTTCCAGCTTTTTTCTTTTTGCTTATGTGGTGCTGAGGAATCGAGCCCAGGGCCTCAGGCATGCAAGACAAGCACTCTACCACTGAGCCACCTTCCCAGCCCTATATGTGTATTCTTATGGTATACAAAATTTAACATACCCTTTTATTACAGTAATTTAGTAAAAATTGTATTCACTAAGTTTAACATCAAAGAGGGATTTTGTTTTACTTTTTATTTTTAATTGTAATTTATTTGTCCTAGTTGGAGATCTTAGAGTAGAATTTATATGCAGGATGTTTATGTCATGTTACAGTTAATAATAGTTGTAGCTTCTTTCCTATTTTTGGTTTTTGAAACAGAATATTCTAGGTAGCCCAGACTGGCTTCAAACTGTCAATCTTCTTGCTTCAGTACTTCAAGGGTCAAGATTACAGGTGTGCACCACTATACCCAACCTAAATCTGAGATTGAAATCCAGGAGTTTTGATTTTTGGGCCTTTCAAATGGACATTTAAGCTCTACCACCTTATTTCATCAAGTCTTAAGTAATTAGTAAAAATCAATATTTGATTTTCCCTTCCCATTTTTAGTGTTAAATGTTTGCAGAAGACTGTGAAGGATTCTTACCACGTAATTTGTAGACCTTGTGCTTGTCAGCTGGAAGTTTGCGCCAAGTGTGGAAAGAAAGAAGACATTGTTATTCCGTGAGTATTTGCTTTTGCATCTGGGTTTTACACTTTCTAAGGTGCGTGGCCTTCCTTTTAATGACTCATTCAGTAACTCTGAAGGTAAAGTATTTACACTTATGGAGACATTTTTCTACATAACAAGGAAAGAATCATAATTTTTCAACTCTACTGTGGTAAAAATGACACTTGTTATTTTTAAGAACATCAACTATTTAGCTATGAGCTTTATGTTCATAATAATTACTATGTAACAATTTCCCCTTCATGAATACCTTTGTATCAATTTCAAGCCTACTTTAGGGACTGTGTATTTCTTGATTAGCTCTTCAGTAGTCTTTAAGGATCTTTCAGTGGGAAAGGCCTTCTTTACTTTGGTGGTTCAATCATAAAGGTCTGTGAAGTAATCAGAAACTTTCTCTTCTATCTTTAGGTTTAATAAAGAACCAGGAAAGACAGAAAATGGTGAAAATGATCAAAGTTCTCATAGAAGGTGCAAAAGAAATGAAGAAAGTGATGATGATTCAGATTTTGCTGGAGACTTAGGTGATCTGGATGCCGTGGACTAATGTAACCTCCAACTCACTTGAAGTCGGGGGTTCCAGCCCGCTAGTAATTTCGAGGGTTTCAACAAAAATACCTCAAAGTCCTAATGAGGAAAGAGGACTAAAACTATAGAAATAGGCAAAATTTATATATCAATGATATCAATTGTGTATATAATGTTTGAATAATTAAGAAACTGTCATACAGAGTTTTCTTGCAGTAAATACTAAAATGTTGGCCAAAATGAATGTTGGATGCATATAAGTGCATATTACTTAGAATTATGTACTATCTAATATCAAGCCAAATGATTCAGAATTGTTTATAGCAGAACTGTTTTATAAAATAAGATGACATTTGATAGCTAGTTTTAAAATTAATCATGGTAAGTGCCTTTTGATAGGTCAATCTCATATTAGTGTGATTTTTTTTTATAGAGAAACCTCTCCCTTATGTAAACTTGCTTATTACAAAGCAAAAAATAATTTTAATAATGTTTAGCAAATATCTAACAACTGATCTTTGAATGTATCTCTGTATTCCTCTCTACAGTTGTACCTTTTGCCTCTTGTGAAATATCCACTCAGAAAAATCAAGAACCCTGAAAATGAATATATTTATATACATTTGTGTATACATGCACACGCTCGCGTGTATGCACACACACATACGCACACACACACCAGTCAGAAGCTTCCAGTATCAGAAATTTCCCTACAAGTCTCTTCCTTCCCACAAGCTCACCCTTCTTCTCAGAGGCGACATCATCCTGAATTTTGATGATTATTTTCTTTTTTTTTTTTTAATGAAATTTATTTTATTTTATTTATTTATTTTTTTTTTGGGTCAGGTCGTGGGGCCTGAACTCTGGGCCTGGGCGCTGTCCCTCAGCTCTCAGCTCAAGGCTAGCGCTCTACTACTTGACCCACACCGCCACTTCCGGCTTTTTTCTTTTTGCTTATGTGGTGCTGAAGAATCAAACCCAGGGCCTCAGGCATGCAAGGCAAGTGCTCTACCACTGAGCCACCTTCCCAGCCCTTGATGATTATTTTCTGTATCATCTTACTACCTTTATTTGTACTTCTCAACAATATCAGATAGTTTTCTCTGATTATTCTTTCTTGTCTTTGTTTTGGAAAACCTGAGAACTACAGAAAAGTATCAAAGTTGTGTAGTGAACCTTTGGGTTCTCTTCGCTTGGATCCCAGTTGTTGGCATTTTGATTTGTTTTCTTTCTATCAACCATTTGAAAAGAAGTCAAGCTAGGGTTCTAAATTTTAAATAAACATTTAAACTGTACATGTTATTTTGTATCTTTTCTTTTTTTTTCATTGTTATAAAATTTGAAAGTGATCCATGCCAGAAAAGCTGAAATTCATTCAATTTTACATTATTGTATATTGTTCTCTGTATTTTCATAGATACTTTGATAATACAGTCCAATGCTGCTACATTTGAATTTTGATTTTTTTTCCTGTTACAAACAATATTGGTAAGAACAATTTTAAGTGAGTTTTTTGGTACATATATGCATTTCTGTAGGAATGTAAACTACCAGGAGTAGAGGGAATCAGATATATATTCATCTTCACTCTTACTATGTAATATATAATTTTTTCCCAAAGGAACTATTAACACTTTCTATAGCAACATAAAGAGTTACAGTGTTCTGTATCCTTTCTAATACTTAGAATTTTAAAATTACATTAATTTAATATGTAAACAGCAGTATTTCCTTGCCTTATGAATTTATATTTCTATAACTATTAATTAACTTTGTCTTCTTTCCATTTCACTATTTGGCTTTGGTAATTCATAATACTAAGACATAACTTTTGCTGTTTTTAATAGTGTTATTTTTAGAAACACATACTGAAAATATTTAAGAGCTTAGTGTCAGTTTTCATTAAAATATTTGAGCATGTAAAAGTAAACAACATTTCAGAGCCATCAAAAAATGCTAACTAGTGTTAAATTTTTAAAAAGAATTCTGCCATTATAAAACATATAAAATCTTGTGACACTAAGAAAATTGGAGACAAAAATAGAGAGGAATCATGTTCATAATGCAGAGATCTCAGTATTTAAGCCTCTAGTCTTCATTTCTCTCCCATTAACTTACGCGATTTCTGTATTTGTGTACAAACTTACTTTTACATATCCATTGTCTGTACTTTGTATGTAAGTTTCACTTTTATGATTAAAGAGCCAAAATTATTATTAGATCTAGCATATATTCTTTCCCTTGTGAATGTACTGTAATTCCTCTCATTACCCTGAGCGCACTGTAACAGAGCATGGCCTACTGATGTGTATCAATAGCATTTCATTCTTTCTTTATTGCACATCACTCCTTTACTAATCTGGAAAAGATTTAGTAGTCATGCTCCAGGTGAGTACAGGTCCATGTTGCAGAGCAAAGCAGCTAGAACATGACTCAGAAACCAGACACACAGCGAAACACTTGCACACGATCAAGAGGCATTTCTTTGCCTCGGAACAAGGTAGGAGGGGTTTAAGTAGAAACAGGAAGCACTGCTGTCCTCAGAGATCCAAGGCCTTTCCAATATTGGTATAAGGCATGGCTTGTCTTCTGATGCCCACATGTGCAATATTTCAACACGCTTGAAACCCTAGAAGGGTTTTTGCTCAGTACTCTCTCATACACACAGACACATACATATATTCCTTTCTTTTGTAAAAGTAAATGAAACAAAAATGTAGTTCAGGGTTGATTCCAACCACCTGGGGCCAAGTGCCTCTTCAGTCAGGAGGAAATCGCTGTTCTGAATTCCCCATGCAGGACACTCATCTTCCACTGCAAAGACTCAAGCCTCCTCAGCAGGGACCTGATGATCAGAGCTGAGGACTGGGTCCTGGCTCACAGTGAACTCTGGCTTCTCATTGGTCATGCCATAGCTTAACTCCTCCCTCACCAGTACTCAGGCCTGTCCTTAGCAAACAAAACCACTAGGAAAAACCGGAGTCACTACCACTCAACCCTCCTGAATATAAGAGGAGCCTTGCCTGGGCTCAGTCTGCAAACCTGCACCCCAACCATGCCATTCTGACTGGATTCTGTGAAGGGAGTGGGTGCAGGAGACAACCCTAAGAATGCAACTGGGAGCCACTGGTCCCCCTCTGCAGCTGCCTGCGGCTTCAGATGTACAGACTTGGTCTGTATTTGAGATGTACAGTTGTCGAATTCATAGCCAGCATCTTTGCCTTCAGACCTTCATCTTTTATTGGCAGTGTATCTCAGACAGGTTTGCAAAATGTCTCAACCCACTGAGACTAAATTTCACTTAAGTTTACCCTATTTTCCTCCTTTCATTCTTTATTACTAAGAAAAATTGCTTTATTTTGTAAGCAGACGTTGCTTTATTTAGTTCCTGTATATTTCTTGAGGAATTATTCTTTCTAATCTGAGAACTAATTGTTACTAGGGCTCAATATGGAGAAATGAAGGATTGTGTTATTTTAATGGGCTTAATTTAATGTAGGGAATTAGCTTGCTCTGCTTTGATAGCAGATGGTCGAGACTGCATCAGTTATTCTGAAATATGGCAGACCAGAATTTCTAAACTCTGTTCCTATCATTCTTGAGATGTGCTTTTAAGAAAATTCTTACTTCTGGACTCTTCTGATTCATTTTGCTCTGGAGTACAGCCCAGAATTTCTTCCTTCAAGACCTCTGTGATTCTAGTCATCAGTTACAACAAAGTATCAGCTGAATGTTGTAAAAGGAAAAAAAAAGCTATTTTTACGCCTTCCCCCTCCCCCCACCTCTTTTTATCTATCAGAACACAGGACCTCTGTCACATTTTTGCCTTTCTCAGCCTTTTTTACAACTAGTGGTAGCCAGCCGTATGAGGGGATCACTGGGAGATTCTGGGAAAGAATTAACTCACCAACAAAAAAGAAAGTTTTTTTTTCCCCTTCCCAGGCTCTTCCTGCCTGATATGATTCTGAGAAAACATGCATGTCTAGGACTTAGTGGCAAAATGGAAAATTTAAATAGTCTTCAGAGACAGCAATCCAAAGCCTTAACTCGGTGAACCCTAGAAAGGTCCGGTTCTCATTATATAAATAAATAGCTAGTTATATAAGCCACCGCTGCCCATCAGCAGTCCTGTTATTGCAGCCAGATTCATTTCAGCTGAAGATCTCAGCACATTGGTAATCTCTGTTCCTATAGGATTTTATAGGTGCTGTGGCCACAAGATAATAAATACATTCACAATGATTAATTGGCCTTGAAGAGTTACCCGTTTGGTTGTGTGCCTTCATCCTGCAGAAGAATTCAGAAAAGCGAAATCACTACACAGTAACAAAGATGCTATCAAATGTAATACTCTCAAGCATTTTGCATACATTAATGTAAGGACATTTAATCCTATATCAGTCTCATGAGAATCAAAGCACAGAAAGATTAATTAGACCAAGTCATACAGCTAGTAAGCGACAATTCTATGTTGTTACACTATCACACGTCAAAGGTATTTCTAAAGGGAAACAAAAATATTTTTCTGTGCCTTGTAATACTTCTGTACTGAATTATTGCTCTTATACTTTTAAAACATTACACCTATCTTCCTATAATCATGGTATAGAATGTCATTGCTCATTTTGTTGATCTTTAGCAACTGAATGTTGCAGGACCACTTTGTACCATGTTGGCTCACCTATAGCTTTAAAGAAATACAGACTATCTACCCAGCTCTGTGCTACAGTTCTGTCCCACAGTCTGTCAGCCATTACACATACGGGGAAAAATTGTGTCTCCTCGACGTCACAAAGACATTTACAGAACCAGACTTTCACAAAGGTGTTACCAATTTACAGAGAAGGCCGCATCTTGCCTTCTTACACACTATGGTTTGGATCTCGTTTGTCCTCACCACGTCTCACATTGAGATGTGTTTGCCAAGGGAGTCTTTTGGGGAAGTGGGCATTTCAGAAGGATTTGTGTCTTTCTCATACCTGTTTCTCTGGGGATGCAGTGGCTATAACATGTCTGGTTCCCTCTG